TAAAAGGCTAGCTAAAAGCTAAAGGTAGCAAAATACTACATGTAAGTAGCCAAACACTAGCAAAAAGTGGGAAGCTAAAAGAGTAAAACTAAAACTAGCAAAAGTATAGCTTAAAGCTCTGAGTAGGAAAACAATTAACAAAAGCCTTAAAAATGAACTAAAAGCTAAAAGTAGCAAAAAGACTATGTAAAATACAAAAACTGCAAAACACTAGATAAAATCAGCAAAAGGTTTGGTAAAAAAAAATGCTACATGTAAATAGCAAAATACAAAAAACAAAGTATCAAAAATCTAAATAAAAGCTAAATTAGCAACAGGGCATGTGAAATGTCAAAGTAGCTAAACACTAACAAAATGCTAAAGTAACAAAAAGTAAACAGAATGGTAAAAGTAGCAAACGGCTAGCGAAAATCTAAAAGTGGAAAAAACACAAGCTAAAAGTTGCAACAGTCCAGCTAAAAGGGCAAAGGGAAGGATGCAAGCTAAATATAGCAGAAGGCTAAAGCTAAAGTAATTAAAGGCTACCTAAAGTTTTTTTTTTAAACACTAGCTAGAAGTATTAAAAAGCCCAACCTAAAGTACATTAAAATGACAGAAAGAAATATCAAAAAGTTAGTTAGAAGACAAAAGTATCAAAAGGCTATAGGTAAAAATGAAAAGTAGCTTAAGAAAGCAAAACATGAAAGAAGAAATTATGTTCAAACAGAACCATGTTTTTAATTATTTGAAGACATACACACACACACATGTATATATATATATATATATATATATATATATATATATACACACACATACTCATAAGTAAACTAAAATATTTTGAATATTATTCCTGTTTTCTTTCTACATCAACAAACTGCCATTTCCTAAATCCAGCCTCTCCTCAACCGATGAGCTTAAAACCACAAGACTAGTTTTCTAAGGGAAGCAAGGTTGGAATTGTTTCACCGAGTGCCAGAGTCTGTCACTGAAGCAGAACATTTCATTAGACTAATACAAAGAGTGGAAGCTTATTCAAGAAATGTGTGGAAGATTATGGATTCATCCATTATATTCCAACTCTCTAATCCCTGGATAATTACCAGAGCAGGTACAAGAAAGAAAATAATGTCTAAATTATTTATTAGAGTAATGCATGTGCATGCTCCTCTGATGCAAATATATCTGGAGTCTATAACGTGATTAGTTCCCCTTGTTGATTCTCTAATGTACAAAATACTGGGAGGCTAATTTCATTTATCTCTGAAAAGGCACTAAAACCGCTGCTATCAACAGGCTCAGCAGAGTTTATCGTGCCATTTATGACATTTACTAGGAGTTGTCTTTTCATAAAATGAGATTTACATTATTTGTAAAAATAGCTTTTTATTTACTTTATATGTAATCCTGTAAAATTGACTGTTGTAGCCCATTATGTGTTGGTTAACGTCGATGGTGGTCATCTTGAATGGGACTGACTCATCAGTCATAAAGATGTCATAGAAATTGGTCATTTCCTGGAATATTTATTAAAATGGGTCCAGCGGTTCATGAAATATTTAATTATCAGAGATTACTCAAGTGATTAATGGCAAGCTTTTAACAAAGATTTGTTAGAACACAGTACTCAGAGTATCTGCTGAGGATCAGTCTCTGCTACTTCCACATGATGTGTTAGCTCAATATCTCAAAAACTGACCAAGTTAAGAAGGTATTTATGTGTTTTTTAAGATGGCTGTGGTAGCCATCCTGGATCAGATTAACTCCTAAATGTACTTAATTTTCAAGAACAGTTGGTTTAAGAATACTTTAGAATTTCATTGAGGGCCTGTTTGAGTATTTCTGGACGTTTAGTTAAAACAGCCCATCATATTTTAATGCAGTGACATTTTGTAGGTCAGACAAATAATAACTTGGTTCTGTTTCCCAGAGGAATGAAGAGAAGCCGACAATCAGTTTCAGTTTGGACTGGCGCTGAGTGGGACTAATATCTGCTACTGGCTGAATACATTTACCTCCTGTCTGCCTGTTCTGTTCCTCATTAGTCTGGGCCAAATTTATCTTGTGGATAATTTTTTTTTTTTTTTTTTTTTTAGACAGTATAAATCTGCTTGCTGCAAACAAAGCAAATCAAACAGGGAAATAAGCTGTTTATTGTGAGGAAAATAGGCTACAGACCATTTGCCTTTACCATCTCTATTTCTTCTGCCCAAATAATAAATGTGACAATTTAAAAGGAGATAAAAATGTCCTAATACAACTCAATTTCTTTATCTGTACTTGCTGATTGTGCTGTATGCAGGAGAGAGCACATATATTGAAGGTAAAAAGAAAGAAATGCACATGCAGCTGTTTCAGACGTCAATGCTCCGGTCAAAGCTATTAACTTTACTGACAAAGGAGGTGAGGCATTCAGGGTCCACAGAAAGCTGTCAGCACCACCACACCGACTAGTTTAGTTCTGAATATTCAACACAGTCTATAACAAACTGTTAATATATATATATATATAATGTCAATATATGGGTAAATTCAAAGCAGTGAGAATAAGTTGGTTTTTAAATTGTTGTTTTTTCCCCCCTCTAAATCTGCACTAAGCAGGCCGTAAGGGCTGCATTTACTGCCCCTAGGATTCAAAAGACTTTAAATCTGCAGTGAGCTGATAGAGCTGTTGATTGGCCTCGGTGACTCCATCATAACTTTTCTCGTGTTTCAGTTGCAAAGGGCCTGAAAGTTTAATTGTTCAACCACAGCGGCGCCACAAAGCAACCTTATTACATCATGATGATATATTAGCTTTTGCTGGCAGCATCTTATTATAGAATTTTCCTCTAAATAGCCAACTTTCTCATTACTGTAATGTAGTTTTTTTTTTTTGGTATGAATTACACCCTTCCACAGCTTCAAATGGCAGATTCAGAGTCAACTATATTTCCCAAACTTTCAGATTTTATCCATTCTTGAACTGAGCAACTACACATGCAGTAATCACTATGTTTTAATCATTGTAGTCACCAACAGAGTTGCATTCGGGCCTAAACGATCCGACCTGGCCCAGCCTGAACCCGTTTCATTTTTTATGAGCCCCACCTGAGACCAACCAATTAACTGTGATTACAGGCCTGAACCTGAAAAAGAAAAAAAAAGATTAAGCTTTTACTGCTTTTGTAAGCAAATCAGTTTGGCATGATTTAAAAACATATTTCAAAGAAAGGAATATATAAGATTTCTTGTTTATGAACAAGAGTCAGCGGATTATTATAGTTATTATAATATTATAGTTATTAGTTATTAATGGTCAGTGGATGAGCGTAGCTGATCAAAACTGGGTTGTCGATAGCGCGTATCCACTGACGTAGCGGCTGATGCAGCGGCTGACGCAGCGGCTGACGCAGTGGCTGACGCAGCGGCTGACGCAGCGGCTGACGCAGCGGCTGAAGCAG